AAGGATATTCTAGCCATGCTCCAAACCATTAGAAACAAGTTCTTGAAAAATGCATACCGAAAACTAAGACATAAGTTTCTTATTTGAGCTGTGGGATAACATAGATCATGTAAATTGTAAAGTGAGATACTGCATGAAAAAGTTCATTTTTTATTCTAATTCATTTTCTGAACCTTAATTTATTAATTGCTTTAGAAGTTTTCTCATACTAATATGCAGTCATGAAATTTCTTTTCATTGCTTATTTTAGAAAATATTTTTATAATGTTTTTTTTTCTGTTTTTATGATTAAGAGATTTATTTAAAATTTTATTAATTTAAAAATTATGGGATAAATTAAAATTTATAGAATGAAAACAATTTCTTAGAATATATAAAAGTTCTTCAAGATCGGGCAAAAAATTTCTTTTATAGATTTCTAAATATTTCACATTTATTTAGTGATCATATAATCAATCAATAAAATAAAAAAATTATAAATAATGTACTTTTTATCAGTTGTTTAATAATTATGATTTCAAAATATTTATTTAAGTAAAAAATTGTAAAGAGATTGAAACTCTCGAAACTTGTTTTAGATTTTTGCTATAGTTAAAATTAACTTAGCCAAAGCTAACTGCTTAGCCTCTCTATTAACTTTTTTTTTATTTTTATAACAATCCCAAATACCTATAAAGAAGGGGAGGATATTTAACCTTTAATAATCACCTTTTTAAATATATATATTTCAGGGTTTACGGACTCAAGTATGGATTGACCCATGCTGCAAATCTATCTATGATCCTGTTAGACTCATTTTGAAATCTCTCAGTTGCATATGATAGTATGAGCTCAACCATATCTCAACAAAAGTATTTATATATTCTCTTGTATTCTCAATCTTTTTCATCTTAATAAAATAAGGCATGCAACTGACAAATATATATATCTCCACAAAAGTGTATATGTTATCTTGGTTTTTCAATCATATTTGGCATATTGGAGAAGATATTTGTTCATCGGTTTGAGTATTAAACTTTTGGAGATTTATTTCCTTTGAACCTGTTCCATTAAGGAGTTTTTCAATCTTGTCTCGATATCATCTGAGTTTTGCAGTTCTGGTCACAAACAGTGTTCAAATAGATGTTTGGTTTTTATGCAGGAGGTTGTTCCGAACTTAATGAGCATTCAAGCAGGACAATGCCTCAAAATTTAATTCTATTAGTTTAACTACAATTCTGTTACAGCTCAATCAGCGTCAGTAAGTTTAGCCAGTTGAGATTTGTAAGGATTTGTAGTTTCGGACATTCAAGAAATACTAAGCTCATCTGCTACCCTGATCGCCACTTATGTTTCACTGTAGTAATACAAAAATTAGGATGAATGTTCCAAAGTTAATACAAAAATCAAGCAATGAAGGTGCCTCAAAATTAACTGCTGTGGAATCTAACTCTCAAGGCTTCCTTCAATATAGCTGTCTTTAAGATTTTGCAGTGCTTGTCGGATTGAATCTTCATCTTTATTGGAGTATTTTAAGCATATCAAGCATTGAGCAACTTTATAAACCATCTGTAGTTCATGGTACTGCTGGCAATTTACCTCCATTCGTTTTCTTTCCTAGACAAGGTTAAAACAAGAATTACAAATTAGCATAAACCATGAACAAGAAGTGAACACTTTTTTCAGGAACTTGGTTAGAAAGCAAAAATAGCCCAAGAATTCTGTTCTTAAGTGACAAATAAGTTTCTCCTGCATGTCACCTGTAGGCAGACAACTACCAGCCTAGATCAATCAGCATTTTAATCCTCCAGAGACTTCCTTTTGAATAAAAAATGGTAATGCTTTTTATCTCAATAGAAGTGAGATAATTTCAGGTATTCCATCTGAAAGGAAAGATAAGAAGACCCCAAAACCCATATCCATTATGAATAAACCGCCAAGCATGGCATACACCAGTCCAGCCTTAATTTCCTGTTAGATTAAAAAGAAGTTTCAGCCTGTGTTTCACTACTGTTGGTATGGAGTTATAGAGTGACTTTGGTACGTACATTCTTCATTAAGGCCAATGAATTAGTTAATATCCTTGGTGCTTGAAGTTTCTCCAAATAGGTGCCCGACTGATGCATGAATATTATATTTTAGCGTATATTCAAGGTGTTATCTTTATAGATGCTGAGTTTTTGAAGCTTGTATCATGTTAAAGATTACTGAAACAGTCTTCATTTTGAACCGGGAATTCAGGAAGATTCAGAAAAGTGAAATTATTTCCATGGTTCGCGAGCTTCACTTTTTCATTGGCATCACTAGTGAGTTTGACATCAGAAGATTGTCAATGACGGACAAAATGACCTTAAATAATTAATAATTATTTGATATAAGCTACCTTTTCTGAGATCCTTGAGGTGATGCTCTTGGCCGTTTCAATCACAGAGTCTGGCAGTCCTGCCATCTCTGCTAATAGAAGGCCATAATTTGGTACATGCCTTGGTCCGTTTCTGAGATGAAACTGTTTAAATAGACTCTATTAGTAAATGAATGCAGTTAAAGCACATGACAAGTAGAAAGTGAAAGTACAAAGAAATTCAACCTTGAAATCCAAACGATTGTTTCTTATGTCAACATAAAAATGAAGAATTTTCACATTTGGGTAGATGGTTGCTAATTCTGATATGTTCTCCATATGAGTGGCAAATATAGTGTACCTGACGAACATAAGAGAAGCCAAAAGGACAACTTTACTTGTTTCCTTCGACAATAAATTCAAGATTTTTGGGAGAATAATATGGGAAAGAAAAAGCTTGGAACTTCTATAACGCCTACCAACTGTATATTTGTCCATTGGCAATCCATATTATGTGCACTTGAATAAATAAATAAATGATTTTCTTTTTTTTGGGGGGGGGTGGC